CTCCCCATCATTACTGCAGCGTGGGTAGAATCAGGATGGATGAGGGGGAAAGCGAGAAGGAAGATGAAGATGTCGCCTGTTGTGCGCGGTCCAGTTCAGAGCCCATCGTGCAACAAGAAGAGGGAATCGTAGAATAAGGAGCTCTTCAGTGGAACGAGCCAGAGCACTGAGGTTGATGCGCAGAGATGATCGACACTACGGCAGTCCAAATGCTCTAGCTGCCGCAGATGCTACAGCAGCAGCAAAAACACGGATGGTGAAAAGGTCAACAGACGCAGATGGTTGGTTTTGCAGGTGCTGCTGAGGGACAAAACAGCGCAGAAAGAGGAAAGAGAAAAGCCCTGCCAACTGTACGGGCAAGTCCAGAGCAGTAGACGCGACTACCACAAAAGTGGCCCTACAGTACCTCACAGCAAACGCGTGACGGCTTCATAGGTGTATTCATGACTTTCTGGCCGTCTGGAGGCCAGCAGACAGGCGACACTGAAACATCACACGGTAATTACTTGACAACGCTGATTCCCTTTGGGATGCCTTGGGCCGCCTTGGACCATGTGGGAAACATCTTGGGGCCACCTTGGGCCCTGCAGGTCACATGGAACGCTCCTGGAGGCCCACGAGGCCGCCTCGGCCGTCTGGTTGCGTGGCCACTGCGGTCCTGGGGCACGCTGTGGCGGCCAGGGTGGTGAAATCACAGCCCCCAGCTGGCTCCTGTCGAGCCAGGCCCGTGACAGACAGCTCAGAGGCGACAGGGCCGGGGAGACGGGGCACAGCAGAGAGGAGACGGGGAGGCAGAGAAGACAGGGAGGCACGGACCAAGCAGCAGCCCAGCACTGCACTCCATGGCCTGGTGCCGCCCGTGCTATCCCCGTGGGCGCAGCGACACAGCTGGACGCTCCGAGCGGACAAGCACGCAGCGCAGGCCAGCTGAAGGGCGCCGAGCGTGGCCGAGGGCAGGGTCCCGGAGGGGCCGAGGTGCGAGGGACTCTTGCGCGCGGTTTGAGAAAAAAACTCCCACACACACACACACACACACACACACACACACACACACACACACACACACACACACACACACACACACACACACACACACACACACACACATACACACACACACACACACACACACACAGACACACACACACACACACACACACACACACACACAGACACACACAGACACACACACACACACACACACACACACACGCACGCACGCAAGCACGCACGCACGCACGCACGCACGCACGCACGCACGCACACACACACACACACAGACGCGCTGCGAATAAGTGGGGCTCCTCTGATGCAGCGGCTGCACATCTCTGCAGCATTCGACGGCCCCCGCAAGTCCCGAGACTCCGCGACGACGACTGACGCAGGCAGCTCGTGCGGACGACGCAGAACAGGGGCGGGACCCAAAACCCAAAAGGGTGCCTGGCCCGGGGTGCCGACAGCTGTTCGAGTCGTCCTGGAACCACACGGACCCGTCGGACCTGGTGGGAGATGCTGTGGAAGCCGCGAGGACCTGCCACACCGCGCAGCGTATGTTTGCGAATACACTGCAGCGTGAGCTTACGCAGGTGTGGTTGTTTGATGTCCGTACTTACTCAGCATGTGTTGCGTGATCCGTAATCCTCGAAGCTCGAATCTGATAGCCCTGTCGGCACGTCCTGGAGCCACGCGTGGAAGACATGTTCACTTACAGATTGAGAGTTCCCTGGTTTCATCGAACCGTGGGGACACCCTGGGCGGGAGCTTATTTGTTGGCAACACCCGATGAACGGAGGAGACGGGAGGGAAAGAAAACAGTGTCCACGACCGACACCACACGCGGAAACGTCGGTGTCGATCTTGGTCACCGCCCATCTAACTCATCGTCAGCTCGCGGATCGTGCTCGCGAATCGGCGACGGCTGGCACGGGCCATGGCCAAGATCGGCGTCGACTGGAACCCGCGGCATCATGGTCATGGTCATAGCGCTTCCCCTGATATCCGATGCATTGATTTTCAATACGGCTGAGTTTTCGACTCGCACCCTGCACAATCAGGCGTGCCCACATCGATGGGAGGGCGGCGTCCTACGCGCAAGCAGGCGGGCCCACCTAGGGCACTCGGAGGAGAGCGAGGGGAGAAGTGAGAAGGAGAAGGCCTTCTCAGAAGGCGGCGGAGCTTCTCAGAAACCCTCGCGCCTTCTGAGACGTGTTGTGTCTTCGGCAAGGCTTGGAAAACCTCCAAGCCCGAAAAGCTTCGGGCATTCTCAGAAGGCCCGCCCCTTCTCGCTTCCCCCTGGGCCCGCCGACGACACTCCTCTGGGTCCCCCGCGGTCCTGGCCCTTTTCCCCGGGGCGGGCGCGTCGTCCCAGGCCGTGTCGCGACGTCCCGGGGACCCCAGCGCGGGCGCCCCGGGAGGCCCTGGGCGGCGACGAGAAACCTCCCGTCTTTATCTGTTGCGCTCACGCCGCGGGGTGGTCTTGGTTCGGGCCGGGCGAAAGGGGGGGACAGCAAAGGGGGGTTTGAGACTCACCTCGCGTAGCTGATTTCCCCGGCGCCGGGACGCGCCCACGCATCGAGAATGGGCCCGGCTGCGGGGCCGAAACCAGCTGCACGCAGGAGATCTCTCTTTTTGCCTGGGAATTGATAATCCCTGCATTATGTTCCAATGCTGTCTCATGATCAGGGGGTTTTGGCCGATCATGGCAAGGAAGGAGTATGCTGTTAAGCTGATTATAGAAGTATCCTTGAAGTGAGGAGGCCGGCCCGCCGGCCGACGTGCGCGAAAGCTGGCACGCTCCTATCTTGATCTTCTAAACCGAACAGTTGCCGTCGGATAAGGTACACGGCAGTGCAAAGGAGAGAAGGCAAGGGCAGCAGGATGGTAGTGCGGAGAGGAGTGCGTTGACTCCCTCCGCGGCGGGGTGCGTAGAGTTGCCCCGACCCCCACCCGCTCGGCCTGCACATGTGTACAGCCACGGGAGCCAACCCCACAAACAATTGAACGGCCCGGCCGCGGCTGCCAAGGGGCAAGAGACCGAAACATCAAGACGAACCCCACCAGGGCTAATATCTAAATCCAGCTCATACCACAAAGACCTCCCACTCATGCCGCACCCACATCACGCTGGCGAAGCCAAGCGACGTGGGACCGATGCCGACAAAGTCGCACCAGTCCGTCTGCAAAACATCATCCCCGCCATTCTCCTTCTCGGCGATGAAGATGATTCGGATCATAGCCAGTCCGCCAGCTCCACTGAGACTGATCTCGCTGACGGCGGTCGAAAGGGCATTTGCCTTTTCCACCACACCAGCCGCTGCACTTGCTCTTGCTCTCGCCCTCGTCGACCGGCCTCGCCTTCGGCGTCGGCGGCGGCGGCGGCGCGGGCATGGACGCAGAAGCAGTTCTCACTGCGCCACGAGCTTGGCCATCGGAGACTGGGCCCCCCGCGGGTACATCTCCAGTTTGGACCTAAGCTTGTCGACGGGGGGGCCCATTCGTCCCCCCGTGATTCATTTTCATGGTATCCCGCGAACTCTGTGTTATCATCGTTCACGGTCAACCAAAACCATGTTCTTTCGCCTCCCGTAATCTGCTGATGGCGATCCACATGAACCAATATCCCAAGACGTTGCCGTTGTCGCACTTGTCAGCCCGATCCAGAGAAGGACCCCTGCCGCCATCGCGCGCGCGGCCGCCTACATCATCTGCGCGCTCATCGGCCCACGCAAGCGACCGATCCCGTTCGCTCCACTCGATGGGACCTCTACGCGACCTCTGATCGCGGTCAGGGTCGCTGCCCGACGCGGCTGAGCCGGCGTGCACTGGGTCGCACGGGGCCGGTCTAAAGGCGCGCCTCCCGTTCCAGCCAGACCGAACCCCTCAGTGGCATCCGTGGGACGCTCCGGAGGTGTCTGGGGATTCCGCGTGCTTATCCACTCCGAAGCGGCAGAGCCACCCGGAGCGTCAGCACCCGCACGCGGGGCCACTTGGCCCTCAGAGTGCTGGACAGCAGCTCCTGATGCGACTGGGGCGTTAGGAGCTGCCGGAAAAGGGTCGGATGCGCCTACCCCCTCGGTAAGGTCCCTTACATATCGAAAGACTCCGATGGCTGCTTCCGTAACAAAATGCCCAGAATGGCCGATAGCCAATCGAGCTCTCGCACTGGGGGCGATTTCAGTAGATGTGTCCATGTACTCTATGGCAAAATGGATGTCAAAACAGCAACGTCCGACGGCACCACGAACTTCGTTACCTAAACCTTCGGTGCACGTCTCTAGCAAGTCTGACGATTTCACCGCCGGCCTGATGCGGCTGTCCAGAGCAAAGGCGTCGGTCAACCTGGGACTGGGGGTAATACCTTCAACGCTCGTAGCTCGCTGTACTTCGCGACCCGGAAAAGCAACGCGAAGTCCCTCTGCCATGGACAAGAGTACCACTTCACGAATAGCCAGAAGGATTTGTCCCCATCGCCGACGCGCGGGGACTCTATTATTGGGTTCATCCCATGTTCTGTCGACGAGTTCGGTCAGTCCTGGCGGCACATCGTGAACCACATCCTTCCCCAGTCGCATTGCAGCGCCTGGTGTGGCCAAGTACTCAAGGATAACGCGAACGGCAACGTCAATAGCGCCACGTCGATTGGCACCGACATGCACCCTCCCGTCGCCCCGCTCAAACTGAATGTCCGCATTCGCATTCTTCACAGGGTTGCATAACGGATCCCGCATTGCTTCAGACAAACGCCCCCCCAGGGGATCTAGATCAAGCCAAAAGAGCAATGGCAATCCAGGGGTATCCAGATAGAGGCGCGCTGGCCAATGCCTCTGGGAAGAACAACTCTCGATATTTCTGAAAGCCTACCACGAGCCAAAATCACGCCGACCTGCCGGCTGGGCCGGGCGCAAAGCGACGCAATTACTTGATAGTTAAAACTTCCACTGGTAATCGGAATGGGCGCATCGACGCGTCTCAGCCGTTCAGATGAGCGTATCTACTGTTGG